CTCTCTGTCCCAAAAATAAATAAAAAACGTTGAAAAACAAAAAATTAAAAAAAAAAAAAGGCCTGTGTTTGAAGCCCAGCCCTACCCTTGACCAGCTGTGTGATGCAAGCAAGAGATAGCAGAGATAGCCTCCCAGAGCCTTCGTTTCTTCATCTGCAAAATGGGTTTAATAATCCCTACACGGGATTAGCAGCTGGAATGCTCCAAGGAGACCTTGAACATGAAAGCTCCCAGTGTCATGCCTGGATGCAGGTGGTGCTCCATGAAGAGTAATAATAATCACGACTGAAATCTATCCAGCCCCCCTCTTCGCGCCAGGCATTAACGTAGACACTTTACATTCTAATGCTAACAGCAACGTTGTGAGGTAAGTCCTATTTATTAGCCCCATTTTACAAAAGAGGAAATGAGGATCAGAGAGATTAAGATCAATGCCCAAAGTCACACAGCAGGAATATGGTGGAGCTGGGACAGTAAGCCGGGCAGTCTATTGGCACCGCGATTCTAACCCCCATTCTAATCCACTTCTCTAACAGTGGTCTCTTGGCCCCCTTCACTTCATCTTCAGCCCCCAGTACATACCCACTCAGTCTGCTAGAGTGCTCACAGCTGAAAAGGAGCACTTACCATAGAACCAAATCCCTGACCCATTCGCTCACCTCACACCTCCTTCCCATGCTCTGTCTCTCTCCTTGTCTTAGCTGGAAAACCAGGCTAAACTTTTTCCCCAAGGACAGTCCTTTAGAGTCTATTGCTCTGCCTGAGAGACTGGCAAAGGGCTCACGGAGGTAAGACTCAAAGCTGGCCATGAAAGAGGAGGACTCTTCCCACGGGCTCCTGGTAGGGAAATCTGGTAACTAAAGGTACAGAGGAATGTCCTTGGTGGGGGCAGAGGGCTCATACCAGGAGAAATAGAGAAAGAAATTCTCCCCCCTAAAGGGATAGATGGGGGTGCTGGGCGGGGGTGGGGGATGCTCTACAAGTTGTGCGCTCAGTGGCTGCTGGGGAGGGAGGAGTTAACAGCGGGATGGCTCCCCCACCAGCTGCGACCAGGGTGACACTGACAGATTACAGCGTGTCCTCCGCACTAATAACGCTGCGGAGTCCTCTCCTGCCAGCTCCGGCTCCAGTGGATCAATACCAAAAGGCGCACGCTGAAAATCCTCAGCCAACTCCCTCCAAGGCTTGGACACTTTAAAGCCCAGAACCGCAGAGTAGGAGGGACCTTGGAGGTCAGTTCATTCCCTGGACTGGGAGTTCCTTGGGCTAGGAATGGTATCCCGCTCACCTTGGCATCCCCTGTCCCATCACAGGGCTGGGCAAGGACCGGTAGGACTCCAAAAGTGTGCCGAGTGAATGGACCAACCTCCCGGCCAATGCAGGAGTCCTCAAAAGAACACTTCTCTGGCAATGGTCCCTCTCCCTCTACTTGTATACCTCCGGCAACAGGAGGCTCCCCACCTTCCCCAAGCACACAGAACCTTCCTTTGTTTGGACAGATCTGACCACTAAAATCACCTTCCCTGTTTTGAATGAACTTCCCCTCCCATTTATTTGTCCACAAACTTCTATTTCCCAATTTCTTCCTCTTCCCTTGTCCCTTTCCCAAATCATCCAGTAATCCAGTTCTCACCTCCTGGGATGCTGAAGTTACATGGCCGAGGAGGGATAAGAAGGGAATTCACATTCACTGAGTACCTGCTCTAGGCGACGTATGTCAGAAACCTAAATGCGATGTCTCACATCATCCTCAAGCTGACATGAGGTGAGTGCTACTGTCCCTATCTGACAGATGAGGATGCCGTAGCTCAGAGAG